GTGACACTGATCGCATCCATTGGCTGCTCCTCGGCATCGCAAACAACCGAGTTTCAGCTTCGGATTTGAAGTCGTAAACTTCGAAGCCGAGGGATTCTTCTTGGCGGCGGCGGGTCGCTTCATTGTAGGTTGCTTCGGTTTCTTCTTGTGAAGTTTCTCGAAGGCTTGCTTCTCGAAGTCTTCCAATGGTGTGGAACCAGGCTCACCAGTACTCGGCTCACCATCTGCGGCTTCATCCTGTGGCTTGTCCCCTGCTTCGCTGTGTGGTGTAGGGTCCACCTTACCATCCTCGAGTGCTGCAGGTGTCAACAAAGCAGTTGACTTTTGAATGAAGCTGTTCATATGCTGACCGAACTGCATGTTGCCACCCATCATTTGCTGATTAACCATCCCCATCGGCTGATTGGCAATCTGCATCTGGCCACCCATGTGCATGCTGTTGCCACCCATCATGTGCGGTTTAACCATCTGCATCTAGCCACTCGTGTGCATGCCGTTGCTAGCAATCATGTGGGAGCTCCATCTGCATCTGGGCACCGTTGCCATTCATCACCTGCTGATTAGCCGGAACCATCTGCATCTGGCCACCGCTGCCATTCATCACCTGCTGATTAGCCATCACCTGGCCACTCGTGTGCATGCCGTTGTTAGCCATCATGTGGGGGCTACTAGCCATCTGCATCTGGCCACCGTTGCCACCCGTCATCTGCTGAGCAACCATCTGGCCACTCGATGCCGAGGGCTCGCCCTGACCAATCATGCCACTCGACTGGGCACCTCGCTTGCTCCTCTTCGGCCCCTGTTGCATACACATGCATGAGATCGATATGCAAGTTCTATAACGAAGCATGACATGCAGGTCTTAAGTCACCAAGCATGCATTCTTTCAAAAATTTCAGCCTGCCTTGAACATGACTTGGTTGCTAGAAGACCGAACCGGTGTGGAATGACACCTGACTTGTGCCAAACCAGGACAGTCCTTGCTGATCGGCTGCTCGTCGGAGTAAGAAGCTCGGCAGTGATCGGGCGGAAGATCGCCAGGGGAAGCAGGGAAGTGTAGCAGATGCTGGGCACCATTGGGCATTGAAGTGGGGCAAACCTGGAAAGACGAAGTGAGGTGTTCGGCCAAAGAGTAAACCACATCTCCACACGGATGGCTCTGGCCCTTCTTGATGTGCACCCATACCAACAAAGCAGTAGCTGATTTTTTCGTCCCTTCCTTGAGCGACCGGACACCCAAGAGCTTGAGACGATGTGCAATCACACTGCATCCTTCCCACATAGTCACGGACTCAAGCTTTTGCCATTCTGAGTTGGTGAAGTACATGTGGAGGTTCTCACAATGTTGGGGCGCAACAGTTTCTCTGGTTGACCCGTTGTTCCAACCCGAAACAACCTTTTGATCCACCACCTGAACCAACTGGTCGTACATGTCGCTAGGCAAACCGCTGTTCTTCATGAGATCATAGAGCTCCACAATCTGAGTGGGTTGCAACTGTGGCATGAGCTCCAGCTTGTGCTTGACTTGTGCCAACAAGGAGCTTTTCAGCTCCTTCACATTGGGCCGTGCTACTATAACAGATAGTTCAATTTTCCCCCATGTACATTTACATACAGGAATCCAGTGTTTCACCGAAGGTCAAACCTAGGCTCAAGCACAGCCCAACAGCGGAGCTCAGAGTGAGAAAAGAATCCGAAGCTCGCGCCGTGGTTATAAGAAGTATACTGGTATAAGGGTTTAAACTTTCATGGTAGCGGAGCTGTTGGCAAAGGCCAGCAGCTGAACAGCATAGATCCAGGGAGATCGAACAAAGATCAAAGGAAAGCGAGAAGTTACGGTTTAACCAAGAGCATCTTGCTAAAGTTGAAAGAAAGAAGAAGCGAGGAGTTACGGCAAAGCCAAGAGCACCTTGGTGAAAGAAAACATGGAAGTGGAAGACCTTGAGCCAGTTACACACAGACCTGCCAAAGTGTTGGAAAGATGGAGCAACAAGCGCAGCAACCTCAACAACCTCAAGCAGCCCATGAATCCTCAGCAGGGGCAGCAAGCGAGGTTCGAGCAGCCGACCGGCCTCAGTAAGCTTTGACACAGGAGGAAAGATTCTCAAGCCACCAGAAGTGTTCAATCCAGCAGCAATTGAAGAAGAAGTGTCGCAATGGAGCGACTGGGCGTTTACGTTCAAGAACTTCTTAGCATTCATGGACCAAGAATTCCTGAGTGATTTGAAGAAAGCAGAAGAAGAAAAAGTGGAGATAAGCACAGAGGTGACAAACTCATTCTTCAATCGCGAGATAGCAAGAGTGAACAGAGGAACAAAGCTTTACTCAGTTCTTCTGTGAGGATCGGGAGGCTTCTCAGAAGGGTACTTGTCAGCGTGTTTAACCCTATTCAACAATATTCAGAAATGTTTGAATTTCTGCAACTTTCTGCTTAAATATTCGGAAATGTTCCATTTTCTTCCGGGAAACTGCCATAATATTCTTCATTCTTCCAGGTTCTTCACCATTCTTCTTAGATCTTCGTAAATCTTCGAAATTCTTCGAAATTCTTCCAAATTCTTCGTTGTATCTGCGGAGAACTTCAAACACTTTTCTAGACCATTCTTCTCAGATCTTCGTAAATCTTCGAAATTCTTCGAAATTCTTCGTTGTATCTGCGGAGAACTTCAAACACTTTTCTAGACTTCTGCTTGTTTCCCCCAGCTGAAACCGCCAGCTGTGCTCAGTCAGGCTCAGACGAGTTTTTAGGCGGCCTGAACTGACTCCTTGGGAACTCTGGTGTTTAATGGCATTTTCTCACTCTTGATGGCTGCAATGTAGGGGCCTAATTGACTAGACTAGGGCTTGGGGCTCCTATACAATATGCTTGGAACAAGGAGCCCGAAGGAACAGTATTGGTAGTTATCTAGGCTTCTATAGTAACCTTAAACCCTCGCAGCCATGGGCAAGCGCAAGCACGCTCGGGACAAGCGGCTGCCGGAGTACTTCAGATGCAATTGAATCATTTGTGTTTGATTTTGAGAGTCAGGGAGGACGGCCTTGGCTCACGCTTTGCAATTCCTTTGGCTGGCCTGGGGGTTCCTGGTGGCTCCCTGGGTTTGTCGTTTTTGCGGTGGCTCAGTCGGCGGTGGCTCAGTCGGCGGTGGCTCAGGTGGCTCGGTGGCTCGGCGGTGGCTCGGGTTTCTTGATGCTGGCCTGGGGTTCCTGGTGGCTCCCTCAGTCGTGGTGGCTCGGTGGCTCGGTGGCTCGGCGGTGGCTCGGGCTTCTTGGTGGCCTTGACTTACGCTTTGCAGGGTGAACTGAATTCCTTTGGCTGGCCTGGGGGTTCCTGGTGGCTCCCTGGGTTTGTCGTTTTTGCGGTGGCTCAGTCGGCGGTGGCTCAGTCGTGGTGGCTCAGTCGTGGTGGCTCGGTGGCTCAGCTGAAGTGGGTGCCGGTGGCTCGGTGCACTGGGTTTATTGACTTGCTTGAAGAGTGGCTCGGTCAGTCGTTGCACGGTCTGTGGTGGCTCGGCGGTGGCTTGGCGGTGGCTCAGCCTCTGGTGGCTCTGCCTCGCTTTGCGGTGGCTCAGTTGCGGTGCCTCGGTCGGCGGTGGCTCGGTCGCTGGTGGTTCGGTGGCTCGGCGGTGGCTCGGGCTTCTTGATGGCCTTGGCTCACGCTTTGCAGGGTTAACTGAATTCCTTTGGCTGGTTTGGGGGTTCCTGGTGGCTCCCTGGGTTTGTCGTTTTTGCGGTGGCTCAGTCGGCGGTGGCTCAGTCGTGGTGGCTCAGTCGTGGTGGCTCGGTGGCTCGGTGGCTCGGCGGTGGCTCGGGCTTCTTGATGGCCTTGGCTCACGCTTTGCAGGGTTAATTGAATTCCTTTGGCTGGCCTGGGGGTTCCTGGTGGCTCCCTGGGTTTGTCGTTTTTGCCGTGGCTCAGTCGGCGGTGGCTCAGTCGTAAGAAGAATTTAAAAGCATGCAGCAGTCTTACGTAGAACAGGGAAGACATTGGAAGAACTGTCCATATTTGTTTTCAACTCTAGTACCCCACACACACTACAAGGCTTGCTCCAGACATTCGTACCAAAAGCATTTGCATGAATTTTGCGTAAAAAAACAAAAAATTCCTCGAACATCCATATTTGTTTTCAACTCTAGTACTCCACACACACTACAAGGCTTGCTCCAGACACTCGCACCAAAAGCATTTGCATGAATTTTGCAAAAAAAAAAAACAAAAATTTCCTCGCTTCGCGAACATCACACATAGTCTATTACTCTGTTACTCTATTACTCTATTATTCTATTACTCAAATACTCTAGTACTCTATTAGTCTATTACCTGTTACTCTATTACTCTATTACTCTATTACTCTATTACTCTATTATTCTATTACTCTATTACTTTACTACTCGATTACTCATATTTGTTTTCAACTCCAGTACTCCACACACACTACAAGGCTTGCTCCAGACACTCGCACCAAAAGCATTTGCATGAATTTTGCATAAAAAACAAAAAATTTCCTCGCTTCGCGAACATAGAAAAGGGTTTCAATTTTCCACACACATAGTCTATTACTCTGTTACTATATTACTCTATTATTCTATTACTCTATTACTCTATTACTCAAATACTCTAGTACTCTATTAGTCTATTACTCTGTTACTCTATTACTCTATTATTCTATTTCTCTTTTGCTTTACTACTCGATTACTCTATTACTCTAATACTCTATTACTCTACTACTCCATTAACTCTATTTATTACTCTATTACTCTATCTACTCTATTTCCTCTATGACTCTATGACTCTATTATTTTGGGTGTTTTCACGCTAAACCCTACACCTTTAGACCCGAACAACCGTAAGCCCTAAACCCTAAACCTTTAAGTCCGTTGCTGCTGCTAGCATGTCTGCTGCCGCGAACAACACAGCAGCAGCAGCAGCACCTGCATCTGACATGGCGACGCCCGTTGCGAATGCCATCATGATGCCTGCAGTTGCCACCACCGCCCACCCCATGCAGCCGGTGCTCGACCCCAGTCCTGGTGCTGACGCAGCTCAACCACCAGTGTTGGCGTTGTCTGAGCCACCTCTGGTTGCACCGGTCGTGTCGTCGCATGCAATTGCACCGGTCGTGTCCTCACAACCGTCGGTACGACCGTCGGCGGAGCCCGTTGCTGCTGCACTTAATGCTGCCACGGCCTGCGCACCAGCAATCACCGCATCCGCACATGCCGTCATGATGCCTGCAGTTGCCACCGCCGCCCACCCCATGCAGCCAGTGCTCCCGTGTCGTGGTGCTGGTGCAGACCAACCGCCAGTGTTGGCATTGCCTGAGCCACCTGCGGGTACACCGGTCCTGTCGTCGCAACCATCGGCGGAGCCCGTTGCTGCTGCATGCCCTGCTGCCACGGCCCACACAGCAGCAAACGCCCTCATGATGCCTGCAGTTGCCACCGCCGCCCACCCCGGGCAGCCAATGCTCCCGTGTCCTGCAGCTGGTGCAGACCAACCGCCAGTGTTGGCATTGCCTGAGCCACCTGCGGTTACACCGGTCCTGTCGTCACAACCATCGGCGGAGCCCGTTGCTGCTGCATGCCCTGCTGCCACGGCCCACACAGCAGCAAACGCCGTCATGATGCCTGCAGTTGCCACCGCCGCCCACCCCGGGCAGCCAGTGCTCCCGTGTCCTGCAGCTGGTGCAGACCAACTGTCAGTGTTGGCATTGCCTGAGCCACCTGTGGTTGCACCGGTCCTGTCGTCGCAACCATCGGCGGAGCCCGTTGCTGCTGCATTGCCGCCTGCGGATTCACCGGCCATGTCCTCACAACCAACGGCCGAGCCCGTTGCTGCTGCATGCCCTGCTGCCACGGCCCACACAGCAGCAAACCCCGCATCCGCACATGCCGTCATGATGCCCACAGTTGCCGCCGTCACCCATTTGATGCAACCACCGCTTGCAACTCCTGTTGCTGATGCAGCTCTACCGCCTGTGTCGGCATTGCCTGAGCCACCTGCGGTTGGAGCGACCGTGGCCCACCTTGCTCCTTCTGCATCTCCTCCGCCCGTGTCCAGTTTGCCTGGTCCGGCAACCGCTGCACCGGGGACTGTTGTGCTGGCGCCTGCGGCGAACCCAGAACCATCCACAAATGCCTTTCCTCTGGTTGCGGCGGCCCTTCCGAAACCTGTTGGTGATTCCGTGGGGCCTGGGGTTGCCAAAGTCAGTGACGATCTTGCCTCGGTCACCGCTCTGAAGTGGAAGTGCGAGACGGGAATCAATGTGAAGTATGGCTTGGGGTACTACATCGACACCGTGCCAGCCTCGCAAGCAGCTTGGGAGTGCCATTTGCATGAGATGGGATGGTCAAGTGGCCCACAGCTGAAATCCGACCCCCGAACCGGGGAGCCGCCATCCGGCCCCAAAACCGGGGAGCCACCATCCGGCCCCAAAACCGGGGAGCCGCCATCAAGCCCGCAAACCCGGGAGCCGCCATCCGGCCCCCAAACCGGGGAGCCGCCATCCGGCCCCCAATCCATCCCCCGCAAGCCGCCCGCCGCGGCCCTCGAGATCCAGGAACCACCATACTCCCGCAACGCAGCTGCCAAGCTCATTGAGGGAGTGAAGAGGAATGCGAAACGCATGAGCCAACTGGACGCCGACGTCCAGGCCCTCATCAACTCGGACAAGGATGATGACCGCAAGAGGCTGCTGGACCTGGTGGTTGGAGCCCGAGGCAACATGGATCAGGTCCAGACTTCGTTCGAATTCGAGTCGAACGAAGTTGATTCCGACTTGACCAACATGGTTCCTGTGACCGAGAAGGAGCTTGAGCGGATGTATGGGGAGAAGACGGCTGAGGTCAAAGAACACAAGGAACGCATGGGACTGTGCAAGGATGACCCCAACCTTCCAGGAGGCAAGGTGTACCAGGTTTTCCGGGACCAGGTGACCACGGGTACAAAGCACAGGAAGAGATGCCTGACTGCAATAAGATACCCTAGCAGGCACGCATGCCAACGTCGCCCTCAACCCTAAACCATCCTAAACCCTAAACCCTAAACCCCCTAAACCCTACACCCTAAATTTACACCCGGAACCCTAAACCAAAATCACCTGACCATGAGTAAGGAACCAAGATCACTGCATGTGCCAGCTCCTCCTCTTCCTCTGAGCGACCACCTGCTGCCCGAGAGCCGCCATCCACTTTGATTTCGGGGCTCAACAAGAAGGGCATGGATGGACCTACGGACAAAAGAAAGGTTTCTTTTGTTGACAACACTAAGGGCGACGGCAAGGCCGATGACAACAAGGGCGATGCCGAGAAGGGCGATGCCGGTAGGGACGAGAAGCCAAATGCTGAAAAAGAGCCGAAACAGAAGAAGCCCAAGACTGTGAAGGTGACTCCGACTACGGCTCTGGACCGGGGCAATGATTTGCTGACCCGAATCCTGGACAAGAAGAAGACGGCTGAAAGCCACAAAACGTGCTAAGGACGTTGTCCTTTGCCGGGGACCTGGTGACGGAGCTGACGAAATTCTCCTCAATTTGGGAGCCGCCTGTCTGAATTGTTCTTGTGTGCATATATAACCGTTCATGCTGTGTCAAGACTGACAGCTCAGGGACCTCTATCATCGGCTCTCCGACCTCACCCACAAGAAGATCAACGAGGACCAACCATGAAACTGCTATGGACTCTTTGTATGTTAGCCCTGAATGTGTGATGATATTTGCAAGGATGCGCCGTACATCCCCATCGTGAAAAGCTATCTGGAGCAGCTGCAGACCTTCGATGGTGTCGAGGCGGCAGCCAAGGCCATGGTCAATTCGGCAAAGCCGAAGGCTAAAGCAAAGTCCACTTCGAAAGCGGCCAAGGCGAAGGCGAAAGCCCTTCCACAGGCTTGATCCGATGTATGCCTCATTCGTGAGGATTTTAAGGCCCTGACAATGCAAGTGCCATTGCACGGGCCCAATCATGGTTTGCAACGTGGGGCTGATGTGATTCGACCTGTGTGTTCATCCTGTTCTCGGATGCAACCGATGAAACGTTTAATGCTGTCCGGTTTCACGGTCCCACGTTTCATCCGGGGTGTGGATCCTTCGAAACCATGTTATGACCATGGCTTCTGGGTCTCCTGCGGGGAAAACACTGTCATCCGTATAGAGATTGTCGATTGCATCAACTTTTGTGACTTTGAGCATTGGCAGCATTATGTATGTTCTTCGTAATGCCCGTCGACCTGCAGGGACACATATGGACGGAATCGGCGGGCCATGCCAGGAGCCTATGCTGCTTTCTCATTCTATGCGGCCACATGTGGCATGGGTTTGCCCAGGGACGCCGATGTGCTGGACAGCCTCGGATGCCAGTTTCTCGCAGAAGAGGTCGGATCTGGAGACCCTCATCCGAAAATGATACACTGAGTGCTGCTCAGAGAATCCACCAAGCACCGAAAGACCAAGCACCGACAGCCCAATCACCGAGAGCCCTGGCAAGGTTAGGTTGGTCGGTTGGTCGGTTGGGTGTCCTTGTGGCGTGGCTTGTGTGTGTTGCTCGCTTGCTCGGTTGGTCGCTTAAACCGTCTCAGTAGCTTGGTCGCTTGGTCGGTCGGTCGGTTGGGTGCACATTGGTCGCTTAGACCGTCTCACTAGCTTGCAGTGAGTGTTTGCAAGTGACTGCGGAAGCTGAAGCCCGGAAGCACCGAGAGCCTCCCAAGCACCGAAAGCCCGAGCACCGAGAGCCCAAGCACCAAGAGCCGAAGCCTGGAGATTCAGTGAGTGGTTGCAAGTGACTGCGGAAGCTGAAGCCCGGAAGCACCGAGAGCCTCCCAAGCACCGAAAGCCCGAGCACCGAGAGCCCAAGCACCAAGAGCCGAAGCCTGGAGATTCAGTGAGTGGTTGCAAGTGACTGCGGAAGCTGACCAGCACCGAGAAACCCAAGTTCCGAGAGCCCAAGGCGATGTCGGTGGCAAAAGCTTCTGCGATTACTGCGGCATTTGTCGCTGATGGCTGTCGCGGGGTGTCAGCGAAGAACCTAGCCGGTTCTGCCAGGAACAGGGATTTTTGGCGATGGATGAGGTTACCTTTTCAACCTTATACGGTGAAATTGCCACTTCTGGCGAGAAACTCCCTTGACAAACACATCGTGTATGAGCCCGTCGCCATGATTCTCCCGACTGACATGATCGAACAGATGTACAAGAAGAAAGCCTTTGGTGTTAGCATCTTTGGCCCGTCAGGCAAAACCAGCTTGAAAGAATACTGGCAGGCTGAAGATCAATCTTGGATAAACGATATAGGATTGACTCCAGCGGCATTCGACACCTGCATACCTATGTTTTGGCATGAGGACTCGGTGCCATCCTTCAAAGATGAAAGTTATACCTTTTGGTCGTGGACAGCTTTGAGCGAGCTGGGATCATGGCAAATTAGAGTCTGCTTGGTTGGATTGGCATCCTCCAGGGTGGTGCCGGAAACAAAAACCGCCATCATGAAGGTGTTGGCATGGAATCTTCGATATATGGCAGAAGGACTTCATCCCACTGTTGACGAGAACGAAATGCCGTGGCCAAACGGGTCGAAACGACAACTGAAGTCGGGAACACCTGTGGCGGGAGGATATACTGCTCGTTTTTGTTGCTGGCAAGGCGACATGGAGGCCAGAAATTATGCCCATTGCTTGGACAAGCGGCACTACAGCCACCGGACAATGATATCAGCACTTTTTTCAGATCCTTTGTGTGACAAATACCATACACAATATATGATCCTAGAGACTGATTCCACTCCCAGCCAACTAAGGATGCAAATTAATTTGCGATCTCTGCCATACCAGCGTCCAGCTTGGCATGACCGACGGCGACTTCAGGAGCACTGCCTCATGGAGAAGGTATGGTCGGGCAATCTTGGACTCCGAAGACCAGTCGCACTGGAAGGCAGTGCCTGGCTATCGGAGGTCCAGAGTGTTCCTCGACAGAATCTCGGTTGCACACTGTGGGTGGCTGATTTGAACAGCTGACCCTTTCGTTTGCTCTGAGCTAAGGCATGCACATTCTCCACCTCGGCACATTGCGGGATGTCATCGCGAGTGTGCTCGTGGACTACCTGCAGTCGAGGGACCTCCACAGGCACACATGGTCTCTCACTTCTTCTGCTTATGACAGAGATATCACTCTGTGGCCGCCGATCTAACTTGAATCTCTCGCTGTCTAATGAAGGTTTGTTGGGCTCGGAGATGACGCACCATTCGACGATGTCTTGCATCGGTTTACGCACGATGCAAAGCGATGGGCTCATGATCATCATCAGGACACGCTCATCTGCTGGATGCCCATGCTGCTGGCTGTCTGCTGTCTGATGTGATATAGGTGCTGCATGGCTGATCGAAGGAGCTCAGCATCAAACCGCTCAATCGGGCGATGCTGGCTCTGCCTGCTAAGTCAGAAACACCGCTGGTTTACCCGGAGCTCACCAGCAGGATCAAGGATTCGTGGCTGACATCTAGCCCGTTTGGTCATGTCTGATCATATGAGGTGTAGTAGGCATGACTGAATGTAACGTGCAGAGTTGCTTGTGAAGCTGAGGCGGCCAGGGTCAAAGTCCTGCTGATGTACCTCACACACGTTGCCTGCTGCATGGTTGCTGGTCTTATATTACAACTCAACAGAGACCCGTCCTGGCAACCAGGACGTAAACTAACACCTAAACCAGTCCTGGCAACCAGGACTTAAACTAACACCTAAACCCAGCCCGAAATCCTCGGAACCCCCACTGTTCTCAGGAGGCAGAGCTCGACGACTGCGACGCCGAAGTGTTGTTTCTCAGACAGGCTGGATCGATCAGTAAGTGCATGGCTAATTCTCCAACGTTGAACAATCATGCATGCGAACCGCCAGACTCGGGCGACTATGTTGTGGAGCCTGTCAACATCGATGCAAATCTGGCTCACTGGTGACCGATACCTGGCCTAATTATATACATAGTATACACGTACATACACCAACGTGCTTAAGTTGTGCTACTTATAAACCCTAAACCCTGAATCCTTTGTAAACCATCCAACGTTCCCGACCAGAACCCCCTGCATCTTCAACCTGCATAAACCCTAAACCCTAGCCGCCTAGATCTGGACCCAATCGAGGACCCTATCTCAGTCCTTCGCAACGAGACGAATCCTGCTACCTGCTGGGCCTCCACCTGATCACATATCAGGCATTATCTGATCGCTCCTTGAAAAGGAGAGCAATGAACTACAGAATACGGCCGAAGATGCACTATGCTGAACATTTGCGAGCTTGGATTTTGAAATCAAGCATCAATCCTCAGGCTCGCAGCTGCTTCTTGGACGAAGATCACATGAAAGGGCTTGCCCAAGTGGCGGCCCGTGTACACCCTTCGACTTTTAACGTTCAGTTTGCAAAGCGATACATACTCAAACGAGTGCTTGCCTTCGCTTCTGATAAGCTGGAACGTGCGACGAAGAGGATCCGACGACGGGCCGGGTGAAAAAAATGCTTGTGATGGCTTCAGCATGTGATGGGGCTCGTGTTGGCATGATCGGTTGTGTCGTGCTTGCTTGTCGATATGTCGAGTTGGTCGGTCGGTTGCAAAAAATGCTTGTGATGGCTTCAGCATGCGATGGGGCTCGTGTTGGCATGAACGGTTGTGTCGTGCTTGCTTGTCGATATGTCGAGTTGGTCGGTCGGTCGCTTGGTGCATGGGCACTTGTGGATGTCGATTGGAATGCTGGGGTGTGTTGTGCTTGATCATCGATATCGACTCGTGCATGCCAGCTTGTGTATGTGTGGCTTAGCTGGACACAGAGAAACGCCTTGAGATGTTAATCATTTGCCAAGTTGTTTGTTTGATGCCAAGTTGTTAAATAAACGCCTCGAGGGCCCTCCAGGCAGGGCAACTGCAGGAGCCAGCGCTGGACCAGTGGCACCAGGACCCGCGGGCCTCGCCGTGGTGGGAACACGCACGCAGTGCATTGGCTGCATCGGATCCAGTTCTCGTCACTACTTTCGTGGACTCCTTCGTTGCGGCAACTACACTCGCGGGTGAACCACTGCCTTCTGAGCTGCTGGCCGAGGCATCTGCGCTCCCGCCCAACACCTCAGTGCACCTTGGCTGGGTCGCGCGCAACCTGCTCCAACCGGATGGGTACATCACAGCAGCCTGCCAGGAGGTCTGCCTCCAACTCTTCGGAGGCCTTGAGCTCCCCACCCAGCTCAGCCGGTTTTCCGATGCCTTCCGTACGGCGGAAGCGTTGCCTGCACATGAGGCGGTTGAGGAGCGCATCCCGGCGGATGCCGCTCTCGCAAGTGCGGCGATCGCGGCCCGGTGCCAGGAGCGAACCCGACCGCACGGGGGCTCCGGCCACCCCTGCACTGAGCAGGCCGCCGAGCCTGCCACCGCTGCAACGGGAGCGGTAGCGCGTGGCCAGGGACGCGCCCGAGGCCGTGGGCGCCGAGGACGCGCTGAGGCGCGTACGGAAGCTGCCAGCGAGGTGCACGAGTCTTTGGTGGTACCCCCAGCTCCTACGCAAAGGGAGCAACGGGTTCCCGGCATCGAAGCTGGGGTGCGACGTGGGCTCGCGCAGCTTCACGAGCTCGATTTACCCGCTGAGCTCCGCCGTCGTGTCCTCACGCTGCAAGGAGCTCCGCGTAAGCTGCGCGGCACTTTGCGTTTTGCTCTCCGCACTGGCCTGAGCACGGCGCTCGACTCAAGGGAGCCCGCGGTCGCCGCGTGTGGCTGGAAGCTCTTCTTTCTCGCGCCCAGGATGCTGCTGCACCGCGCCGCAGGGCACAATTCCGTACCGGCGAGCGAGTTGGAGCAGCGATGCGCCTACTTCCGACAGGGAGAGTGGCTGCAGCTTCTCCGTGAGGCGGCGGGGACTAGACCGGCAGGGCAGGCCCGCCCAACGACCACTGCAGAGCCTGTCCGGGCCGCCCGAGCTGCCCACTTGGTCCAACTTGGCGAACTTTCTGCCGCCGCGCGCGCCCTCACGGCCGCGCCGCAGGCGCCTGGAAACGCCGACGCACTGGCAGAGCTTCGGGACCCCGACCGTCGACCTCCGGCGCCGCAGGTGCCCTTGTCCGCGGCGGTGTTGTCCTATCAGCCTCACTCCGCCTGCCCCCTTCCCGAGTCCGTTCTACTCGGGTGCCTCAGGGGCGCGCGCCGCGGATCGGCTGCCGGCCCCTCTGGTGCTACCAACGAGCATCTGCGCTTGCTCCTCGATGAGCCGGCAGATGGCGCGCTGCTCCACCGAGCTGCCGAGCGCCTGGCCAACGCAGACGTGCCGGAGCAAGTCCTCGCGGCCGTGCGGCTGGGACGCATGGTTGCTCTGCGAAAGCTAAATGGCCGTGTGCGGGCGCTCGTTGTTGGTGATGTGTCTTGCGGCGTCTAGTCGCACGTGCGCTGGCGCAACACTTTGCAGCCGCCTTCCAGGAAGCTTGTCTCCCATACCAGTTTGGGCTTAGCACTCGGGCGGGCACGGAGGGCCTTTTCAAGCTCCTCCACACGGCCACGGCCCTGGACGCACGCGCTACGGTACTGTCCGTCGACGCTGTGGGTGCCTACGACCACGTGTCGCGCCAAGCCATGCTCGAAGGTCTCCGGTCCCGCCCGGCCGTCGCCCCGCTCCTCCCCTTTGCCCGCCAGTTCTATGGCAGTGCCAGTGTCTACACCTGGCTCGACGACGCCGGCACCGAACATGAGGTAACGCAAGGGGACGGTGGCGAGCAAGGGGATCCGCTCATGCCGGCGCTTTTCTCCCTAGCGCAGCATGCCGCTTTGAGTGAGGCCGCGGCTGGACTACAGGAGGGTGAGGCCATCTTCGCGTTTTTGGATGACACGTATGTGGTCTCAGCACCGCAGCGCACGGGCGCGCTGCACGGCGCCCTGGAGGACGCGCTAGGGCGCCACGCCCGCATACGCCTCAACCAAGGCAAAACTCGCGTATGGAACGCTGCAGGCGAAGAGCCTGCCGGCCTCGCCCTTCTCCAGCCCACTGGTGCAGAGCCAGTCTGGACGGGCGCTTGGTCTTTGCCAGCGGACCAGCAGGGACTGCTGGTGCTGGGCTGGGTGCACCGCTTGGGAGCGAAGCTTCTTCGTGCAACAGGAGCTGCGCCGCAAACGGGAGACCCAGGACCAACTGCTTACTCGCCTGCCTGCCGTCGGGGACCTGCAGTCCGCGTGGCTCCTTTTGCTGTTCTGCGCTTCCCCACGTGCCAACTACTTGCTCCGGATGCTCCCGCCCGGCGAGACGGAGGCTTTTGCGCGTGAGCATGACGCTGCTGTGAGTGCATGCTTAGCGACCTTGCTGTCGCAGGACTCCCGGCCTCCGCAGTCTCTGCCTCAGCAGTCACAGCGCCTCGCACAGCTGCCGTTACAATATGGAGGCCTGGGTGTGCGCTCGGCAGTCGACGCCGCCCCCGCCGCCTACTGGGCATCCTGGGCGGACTGCTTGCCGACCATTCGAGCAAGAGCGCCGCAGGCAGCCGCTCGTTTGGTCCGCGCAGTAGAGTCCTCCACCGAGACTGCGCTGCCCCTGTCAGCAGCACGGCACGCAGCCGCTTGCCTCCGAGAGCAGGGGTACGACGCTCCCGCCTGGGACTCCCTGCTGCAGGTACGGCCCGCGCCGGAGGAACGCGAGTTTGGGGAGTTTCTACGAGGCTGGCGGCATCGTGCTGCCCGCGCCAGCGACAAGCGCGCGCTTGAGGTGCATCTTTCTCACACTGATGCCGCATCTCGAGCACTGCTGGTATCGCAGGCCGGGCCACACGCTGCACGCGCTCTCACAGTCTTCCCGACCTCGGCTGAGTCACCACTCTTCCGCGTCCTGCTGTTGCGACGGCTTCGCCTGTGCCCCTGCCAGTTGCGCCGCGCACGTGCGCCTGCCGCGGTCGCCGAGGACCCGCTCGGTGACCACAGGGCTGCATGTGCGAATGCCGGCGTGCTCGCGTCTCGCGCCCTTCCTCTCGAGCGGGCGGTCGCGAGAGTGTGCCACGAAGCTGGCGCGCGGGTCGCCCGTAACGTCCGCCTCGCAGACATGAACCTCGATGTTCCGGTCTCCGATGACCGCCGCATCGAAGTTGTCGCGAACGGGTTGTCGTTGTGGCATGGCGCGCAGCAGGCTGTTGACGCCACCATCGTCAGCCCTGTGACGCGGGCGGGTGCGGCGCAGCCTGGAGCAGACGTGCACCCCGGGTGAGCGGTCGATGCAGCCGCCCGACGCAAACGTCACCAGACCTACCCCGAGCTTGTGCGCGCTCGTCGCTGCCGCTTGGTGGTAGTTGGTGTCGAGGTTGGGGGCCGGTTTGGCGCAGAAGCGGCGACCTGGCTCCGGTTGCTCGCCGGGCAACGTGCCTCCGACGTGCAGGCTAGTATGCGGGCGGCCGCACGAACGGCGTGGGTTTCCCGTTGGTCGGGGCTCCTCGCAGTCGCAGCACAGCGCGCCGTCGCAGCTTCCCTGTTGGAGCTCCCGCTCGCGGGCGAGTGTAATGTTGCCGGGGAGCCGCCGGATCTGCACGAGGTCCTCGCCGACGTGCGTTGGCAGCTTCCGTCTGTTGGCAGCCGCCAGGGGCCTCGCTAGTGCTCTGGTGTGTGCGCCTCCGTAGGGCCCGGTATAGGCACTTCTGTCTGTGACTTTGGGCTGCCGGAAAAAGGTCCGCAAAAAAAAAAAAATCAATATGCTAATCAATATGTCGTTTTTTCTGCATATTGATTGTTGGCGCTGCGCCAAAAATCAATATCTGTTTGCGATATTGATTGATTGTAATCAATATGGGATGCTCAGGGCAAGATCGATGGCAGCGCGCAGCATGCCAGAGAGAGCATCAGTGCCGGCGCGTGTCTGGAGGGCGAATTGGTAGGGGCGGGTGGCCTCGTCGAACGTGGTGGCATACTGGCGTGCCAAGCATCGCGACACTAGCCTACGGAATGTGTCGCCCGTAGCTATACCCCGCACCCCGCCGGCGGGCTTACGCAACGCCGTGAGGCGGGAAACGGCGAGTGCACCAGCGATGTTGGCAGGGATTTGGCCCGAAGCGAGCAAGTTCGCGGCATGCGCGAACAGCTCGAGAGCTTCAGCGTCGTCGAGCAGAACTTTGTAGTGCTCGCACGTCGCGCCTGAAAGGCCGGCAGCGGTCCCACGCCTGGAGGATCGCAAAGCCTGACCGATGGCGGCGGCTGTGAGTGTGGCCGGCGCGTCTGGCTGGAGGTCGCGCACGTCTGCGGGGATTTCGGTGAGCAGTGCAGGTGGGCGTCTGGCCGGGTCGGACAACGCTGCGAAAGTGTCCTCAGTGCCTGGGGCCAGAGCAGCCGCTGTCAGCACGGTGCGGCCCCGGGACACTTCTCCTCGGCGGACGTGTGCGCAGGCGGCCTCTCGGCGTCGGAGGCTCACAGCGTCATCGTCGGCGTGGGTTGTTGGAGCAGGGCCGAGCTGGTCTGCAGCGTCGCGCGCTGCCGCGAGTAGGGTACTCCAGCGCCCGGCGAGGAAGTCGCGCACGCGCTGGAGCAGTGCCTCGCGACCGGTTGAGCCTGCGACCCGTGCGCGGAAGAGAAGCAGGCGAGGGACAAGCGGGAAAAGCTTCCAAGCTCGGGTTTGTTGTGCTTCGCCGGCTCGCGAGTGTGCATCGCATTGCGTCGCGCAAGGCTCGGAGAGAAGCACTGTAGGCTTGCCGTATGCCGGGCCGCAGAAATGCCGGCACGCCCTGCATAGTGGGCAGCCGAACTGCGAACTCAGTCTGCAAGTCGACGGCATCAAGTTGTGCCCACGCGGCTGCAGAGAAGTTGTTCGGGTGTGCAGCCGAAGTGGCGGCCGTTGCTTGCGGGGCAGCGCCGGCAGGTGCGTCCTCGCGCGGCTGCGCTCCGGTAGTGGGGCTTGTGGCTTCGGCGCCTGTTGCGTTGGCGACGCGTGCTGGGGCGGCAGGGGCACGTCGTACGCTGTCAACCAAGCGTTCCAGCGTGGAGGCGGCAAGACCACCCAGCAGCACGCCGAGCAGTGCTTCTGGCAGTGGAGCAGCAAGGTAGTGCCCTTCCCGCGGGTCCGAGACTGCTCTGACGAGTTCGGCCAACGAGGTGACTTGCCCGTGCCGCAAGGCGGCCCACTCGCGGAACCGGCGGAGCGACGGGGAGAGGCGCAGCGACGCGGGTGGGAATGCTTGGCTAACGTGCTCGACGGCGTGCGCGAGCTCGGGTACGGGCAGGAATGGCCTTGCGAGTACCCTGAAGCTCCAATAAGCTTTAAATAAGGTGACATGCTTAAGTTTCCCTATCAGGCGTAAATCTCATGCTTATATAAAGCTTTAAACTCTTTTTAAAGCTTATAACCTTTATTTAAACATTATAAAAGGTGTTGTAATGAAAATTTAAAGCTTTCAGCTTTAAATAAACATGAAAAGTACGTCTCTTAATTAAGGCTGACAGCTTTCAATTAAAACAACAAGTTTGACAGATTTTGCTGGAGGCAGGCTCCAGAAAATTGCCGTTAACCCTATCCTAAATCCTAAAATCAATCAAAGCATGCAGTCGATCACTCGCTCGATCATTTTCAAGCAGCTAGCACAGGCAGGGTGTTTCTGGCTTTGAACTTGTCCAGGACAAGCTGGGAAGAGTTTCCCGGAGTGTTGTGGCCGCCTTTGGCCCTTACCATGGCTGCAGTAGCTCCTCCGAAATCTTCATCTCTATAGCACCAGATGTCCTTTGGACATGTAGAGCTCTGCGAAAGGTGCAGGAGGAGGTGAAGCTTCGGTTTAACTCGCCAGGCGATATTGTCACCAAAGTGATCCCTCAAAGGCACATACTGCAAAGCAAACCTTCTGACCTCTCGCTCCATGAGGCTGGGGTCGTAGGGCTCGACATCCAGAGCAGCATAGCATGCCAAAAGCAAAGAGATGCAAGCCAAAACTGCCGAATCCAGATCCCCTGAGCTGTCCAAAAACTTTCGGCACACAGCATCCAAAATAGGTATCAACTTTCTGGTTTCTGCACCTTTGGCTTTGAGCTTTGGAGCTTTTCCAGCTTCCTTGCGATACATGGTCTCTGTCAATGTGGCCAGTCGATCGGATGCGACACCCTGGTTCTTGTACTCCTGCGAAATCTCTTTGTAGAGCTCTGCAGTTCGCTTGGTAATATTGGAACCAGGCATCTTGCTTTGCAGGTGGTACAGAACATTCCCAGCAGCATCTGCAGCACAACCCAAATCCATAATATGCAGCCAATCCAACCTGATGACCTTGAGACAAAAATTTGGAAACTGCCACACAGCACTCATGAACCTGTGCTCCTCCCAGCACCTCATGATAAAGGTCTCCTGATCAAAATATTGATGTCTCCAGGAGGCCTGCAAATCCACCTCGTGCACTTTATCAGGTGTCATGGGACAAAGCCAGCAGCAACCATTGT